CTTATTTCCAGTACAAATAAAAGAGATAGGGTATTGATTTGTTATTTAGATTCAACGAATTCATAATATTTCAATTTCATTGGGATTCAGTTAAAATAAATACATTTAGTTTAGTTATATTTGAGAGCATATTCAAACGAAATTTTTTCTAAGCAATCAAATTTAAACCGACGTGGAACAAATAAATGAAAAAATAAATTTCTTATGTAATGTATGCTTATAGTATACGTTTTCAGAAAGGTTTGTATCTTATTTAATGTATGACCCTAGTATACATTTTTAGAATGGTTCGTATCTCATGTAACGTATGTCCCTAGTATACGTTTTCAAAAGGGTTTGTATCGTATATAATGTATGATCCTAGTATACGCTTTTAGAAATATTTGTATCTTATGTATGTCCCAAGTATACGTTTTCAAAAAAGTTCGTATCTTATGTAATGTATGTCTCTAGTATGCGTTGTTAGAAAGGTTTGTAATATTTTATAGTGATACAATGCCTTTTTGAGTGCATATGAAATATGTTTTTATATATTTTATTTTTTGCAATAGCCCTATAAGTCTTATAAATATGTCTGGTACGTTTTCGTAGACATATGCATTTTTAAAAAGCCAATTAACATTCCTGGAGTTTATTATCTGTTAAATATTTGGTTAAATTTTTAATTTCTGTGTAGTAATTTCTTGGCAGTTTTGTATATTATGGTGCTATAAATAATTGTTTTAAAAATAAGTGTTTCTTTCTTTCTTATATTTTATTTGTTTTCTCCTATGAGTAGCCCAATTAGTACCATAACAGATAATGCCTATCTGTAACACTGCAAAACCAGTGGTCTAATACCTATCTGTCGGAGCTAATAGAGTCAAATGGACTGTAACGTTTGGTAATTTTTTATTGAATGAGAAAAGAATGTTAGAAAGCTACGCTTGGCGCATTACAATCTCGCCAATGAGGGCGTGGACACTATCTTAATTTGCTGTTTAAAAATCTCTAAAAATTATGTGTTTTTTCAATTTAATATCAAATTGAGCGTTCATACACTCTTGTGCATGTAGAAAAGGTGTATTTAAAATACTTTATATTGTAAGAAACGCACAGCGTTACTCCATTAAAAGCACAACCGATTTCATTTAGAGTATTTAAAACCTTTAATTCTTAAAATGTCATGAAAAAGGCACCATTCTCAAAAACGCAGATTTGGTTTAGTAAGTTAAAAAAAACTTCTAATTATCACTTAAAACGTGAAAGAAAATCCCTATTCCTCAAAAAGCATAATTGATTTGATTTAGAAATTTAAAAACATCTCGATATCAATCTAATTCTATTTTGAAATGCAATGTAAAAACTGGGTTGTAATTTTCTCTGAATATGATATCGAACAATCAAAAAATTCTTGTGAAGAAATAATTTATTTCAGGTTAACATCCAACCGAGCTTTCATACATAAGTTAAGGAGCGTAATTTAAATATAAACAATTAAAATGAAATAAGCTTACGCCAAACATTTATTCATTCGCATCAAATTAGTATTATATTCACTCCTGGAAACACTCATGTTGGCAAGCTCTGAATATGGTCTATAAATTGTTTTTATTTGAATATAAGTTGGTGTAATTGTGTAAAAGTATTCGATTCTACTATACATCAACCAAAAAATAGATGATTCTTTCTCAGTGATTGGCGATTTATAGGTTAGAATCTCCTTGTCGTCAGACTACCCGTGCGAGGTTTTCGTGGTTTTCCACTCCATATAACGCAAGTGCGGGCTAGTTACATGAAAAAAGTCCTCAATGAAGGCAAAATTTCTCCCAGTACTCGATCCAGGAGTTCCTTTTCTCCAGGATTGGGTTCAAATTTACAAGAATACGGAGTTGGACATCGGTAGTAGTAAACCCAAAAATGGGTCGGCTGTTCAACGATGACTCTAAAAACAAAACAAAAGGTCAGCATAAAAATGTGCTCGTAAGTTTTTGTTGTGTAATAAGATTAGGTTTTCAACATCTGTGAACTGTACAAAGTCGTTTTATCATGCATAATTTCTATTCGCTTCGATTCTGTTAAGCCTCTTTCGAATTCATCTTAATATTCTCCCGGTACAAGTAAATTTCATTCAAGTTATCCCAGAGAAATAAATAGAATTGTAATTTAATGAGATAAATATCAGTTTCAAGGTATTCATTTCACATTTCTTGGGGAATTGACAATTAATTTATGATTTCAAAGTAATTCAATGAATTCGAGTGATATTAGCTTCATAAGAATTTCTGATTTAAATATAAAACATTCCCGATAAAAAAAATATGTAAAAAAGTAACTAAATTTAGTAAGTAGCTAGATGGTGTTCTGAATCAGGCTTATCTGTCAATCCATCAAAGATAAGTTATGTAGCCTTCACATGAAAAAGGCAACTTGATCTAGTTAATGTATACTACCTGGACCATAAAATGGAACTCACGGAGAAAGTCAAGTTTCTAGGGGTTTATTTTGACTCCAAACTAAATTGGGGTCATCAACTTGAATACTGTACCAACAGGGCCAGAAAAATTTTCTGGTCTTGCACAAATGCTATTGGTAGAACATGGGGACTGTCCCCCAAAATAGTTTACTGGATATACTCAATGATTATTAGTCATATCATCACTTATGACGCAATCGTCTGGTGGTCGAGGACTAGATTCAGCTCCGCAAGGTCTAATCTTAACAGACTACAAAGAATGGTCTGTGTACTCCTGTCAGGATGTCTCAGGACCACTCCTACAGCTGCTCTAGAGAGCTTACTTAGGCTTCTTCCATTGAACTTACGCTTTGAAGTTGAAGCTCAGACAGGTGTAAAGCGTCTTATGTACCTTGGCCTATGGAAAGAGCATTCTAAACACTTGTCATGGGGACATCTTGTTTCACAAGTGATGGATTTATCCTCTTTTATTATGCCTAATGACTATATGTCACTAAGATACGCTTTTCGCAAGCCCTTCAAGATCCATTTTCCTGCTAGAGATGAATGGTTTAATTCTCCTCGGTGGCTTAAAGGCAAATGCCTAATATGGTACACTGATGGTTCAAAGATTGGTGCCAAATCAGGAGCAGGAATTTATTGCTCCAATGATGGTATCAAACGTCACTTTCCCCTGGGAAATTATGCCACTGTTTTTCAGGCTGAGGTCTATGCCATTATCTTGTGCTGCAAGTTATGCTTAGACAAGGGATATCAAAATACGACTATCCGCATCTGTTCTGACAGTCAGGCTGCTCTCCTATCACTGTCAATGTGTAAATTCACCTCTTTGTTAGTGTGGGAATGTTTCTCGGTCCTCTGTGACCTGTCCGCTCATAACAAGGTATCCCTGCATTGGGTACCAGGACATATGGGTATCGGTGGAAATGAGCTAGCTGATGAAGCATCACGGGCTGGCTTTAATGCAATTTTCAGGAGCCCTGAACCTGCGTTGGGAATTTCTCCCTCCTCATTTAGGGCAACCATTTTCAAGCTCTACGGCAAGATTGCCCATGAGCAATGGCGCGCTGCTGACGGTCAGAGACAAGCTAAGGAGCTGAATCGTGACGGTCCTAGTGTACGTCAAAAGGAGCTGTTAAAGCTTAATAGGAACAGTATAAGGAAGATCATAGGTCTTCTTACTGGTCACTGTATCCTCAGGAGACACCTAAACATTATGGGAATAGAATCCAATTCTCTTTGTCGGGGATGTCATCTAGAAGAAGAGACATCACGACACATACTTTGTGATTGTGATGTCTATTCTGCTCAAAGATTTGAGCATCTAGGGCAGCATTGCGTCAATGCCTGGGAACTGCAAGATGTTCCTGTAAGGTGTCTGCTGAATTTTATTTCAGCTATAGGGCTTTCATGCTAATCATGATTTAGGGTTTGGGTACAATAGATCTCTGGTCGATGTGCCCTGCTCGTTAGAGCTGCCCAACCTCTAAGTCTAATCACATATATAGCAGCGGTATTCGCACTATTCTTTAAACAATTAGAGAAAAAGTTCAATTAATTACAGTTTTTAAAAATTAAAAATATTTGCTGCAAAATTTTGACAAGAAAACTTTTGTAAAACTATTTTAAAGTATTACACTAACTATACAATTATTTGCATTTATCATTATGTATAAAAAATAGTTTTTATTTTAAAATTTCCACAATTTAATTTTTAAAAAAAATAAAATTAATCAAACTAGAAAATAAGAGCCTAAATTAATCAAGCATTTTTTATTATAAATCACACAAAACTCGAAGCTATGATAAGTTCTATCGTAACTTTGAAATTACTTTAAGTAATGAGCGTTTTAATGAATTTGATCAACCCTATTGAGGCATTTCAACAATGTTTTTTTATACAGTTAGTTATTTGAAACTAAAGATCAATGATGAAGTAGAGTTTGAAAGAGTCTCCGAATTTTTTAAAAAAGAGGGTTTTATTACAAATACTTTTATTGAAACTGAAATTAAGGGCAAACTTACAACAGAAGTTTTTTCTCACTCCAGAAAATAATTAGATCACATTATAAATCATGCATGTTAAAACTATAAATCTACAAAAGTGAAACCTGCACAATTCAATAAAGAAAAATTACTTCTAACTTGGGTAAGAAAAATAACAAAACAAAAAAAAAAAAAAAATTGGACCTATAAAGGATGGCCTTGTTTGGAGAATGAAAACAAACTTAAAAAGAAAAATTATTGAGTACTTGAGCAACACATAAAATTCATGAAAGTTAAAAGCTATAAAAAGAAAGTCGACAATCGAAAAGTTTGGAGATGTTTGGTGAGGGAGGATTTTTCATTGANCTAAAATTTTATTACTTTGTCTATAAATATATAATATTAGGAGAAATGTTTCTTTGTAAAAGTTTCTGCATATGCTAAAATAGGTTTTGTGTATACAAGTTCGTTACAATTTTTATTTAATAATTTTTTAACGACTTTCATACATATTTAATGCATTTATATATTTAATGGAAATGTTCTTGATACATTGTAGGAGGTCTCAAAGTATATGTTAAGCCCCAAAGTCATGTATTTGGAGAAATGTCCGCAACTTGGGAATTATATGGAGATCAAGGAGACATGTGGAGACGGGCTAATATCTCGATACCGAGATTTGCAGAAAACTTTCAAGTATATATATATTTCCTATATCTTTTACAATACATGCATATTGATTAAATTGTTATCGAAATTATATTAAATTGCATAACTAAATTTTTCCATACTTAGATGCACATGGCTTGTTGAAATGACCTAAAGTGTGATAGTTAATAGAGAGATTTCGCACTTTAACGTATGTTTCCATACGCAAGATTTGAAGTAACTGCTCATGTTCGCATTTATTTTAGATGTTACGCATCTTTACGTTATGTTTGCGTGATTAACGCTACAAAGACAAAGTTACAAGCACGCTGTTTATAGCTTTCAAATATTGTTTTCTGCTTAAGTCTATATTAGAACTTAAAACATGGAATGCGAATTTGACGAAATATATTGATGGAATTTAGAAATGAATCTTGTGATATTACAACAATTGGGTGAACGAAGAGATCGTCAACGTCCATTGTAAATGTTTGTTTTGATTTTTTAGTCAAAGTTAAAACGATATTTTATTACGTGGACGTTTTTAACTTAGCGGATTTTTGCTAAAGTTTTCACTTACGTAAGTTTGATACTTTTTTCACTGATGCATGCGCATGTCACTAGGATTGACGAATTCAGAAAAGCTCATTCCATGTATGATACCGTGGGTCGTGAAGGGAGAAGCGTTCGATCACGTATTCTGAACGGGTTTAGTTACGAAATCCGAAGCAAAAATGTACAGTGCACAAAATAAAAAATGGAGCTTCCAGAATAACTTTTGATTTAACGATCGGATTTTCAAGTTTTAGGACTCAATTTTAAAGGTTTGAAGGGGTGACCACAAATATAATAATTGATTAGTGCAGTAAGATATTTTAAGTTATGAAATCAGACATAAAAATTTACTTATGATTAGATGTCAAATAGTTCCGAAGATGTGGCAAAGTACGCAAAAAGGGACATTTACATAACGAGAAGCGGAAGGCAAGTAATAAGTTTAATGTATCCAACTACTTTCGACATTTTTTTTTTAAAAATTTATTATAAAATTTAAAAAAGAAACGAGTTTATTTGTTTTATAATGTGTGAAAACTTATAAGAAACTAGCAATGAAAATTATTATTATTTTGTTTTTGTTTCCAAAATTGCCGTTTTTAGGTAAAAATAAGGCGTTTTTTTTGCATATTTGCTAAACACTGTAAAAAATTTCTATCCTCAACACAAAAAATCCTTTGAGGATTTTATTTAGAAAGCTATCAACTTTTAAACTTATTATATTGAAAACGATTGCATATACTACAGAGTTAAGGATCAGTATAATTAAAAAAGCACATTTTTAAAAATGTTCCCATTTGTCTTTACAAAAAAACATGCATAAAATTTAAATTTAAAATTTTCTCTTAGCCTGTAGTTTAAAACATCTGAGCTCTAATTATTAAACACTCATGAAAAATTGTGGAAAATTATTTTAAAAACAAATTAAAATATCGTGTTTCAGATGGTATAAAATGTCAAAAAAGTTTTATTTTGAGATAAACGCATTTAAAGACTTAAAATCACTAGTCTATACAGTGTGTGCCAAAACTTGGCTATACCCAAATAAACTGTCCAAATGATCCTGCATGCATGAAGTGTGCGGGAGCTCACTTTACATTTCAATGCACGAAACCCAGAAGCCTTCCTGCTACCTGCATCAATTGCAATGGAGACCACCCGGCCTGTTTTTCAGGCTGTGGGGCCAGACCAAGGAGAAAACCACAGCAGAAGCACAGACAGCCCAAGAGTGCCACCAAAGCTGCAAACAGATTGCTGCAGATCTTCCGGGAACTGCAAGAATTCCTACAGAACGAGGAGTTAGTACAGCTAATCCGATCTTTACTTCCCGAAAACAAGACATACTGATCTTCACTTCTCCATGACGTTGACTACTCAGTCAAGCCATAATCTTAAATCGACTTAGAAACATCATACTACTTACCACCTAAAGGATCTACCTCAAGGACTTTTATCACATGATGAAGGGGTAAAGGGCAGTTCCGGCCTCAGGCACCAAAAACCACCTAACAGACCAAGATCTATCCAGTGTTATCACCTTGCACGAAAACTGCTATCACTTTGTAAAAAAATGGAGTACAAACAAAATTAAAGTTTTTTACAGAAAACTTAAATTACAGGAATTATAAATTTATAATAAACTCAATTTCTCATTACCCAAAACTATGTTTTTGCACTAGTCAGATACTTTAAGCAAGAGAGCTCTTAAACTTATTGAGACCATATTTTGCAGACGAGAGTCAGAAATGCTCTTTCGAAAAAGCTTATTTTAATAAAATACATTTAAGTATCGGAATTCGTAATTTAAATGCCATCAGCTAAAATTAATTAACAATCTGAATCCTCAAATAGTTTAGATTAAATCGTTGTGAGTGGAAATCTGAATAACTGATCAAATGTCCGTTTGGTGTTCCGTTTTTATTTTATTTTGTGCACTCTTATCAATATCATTCAGAAAATTTTTTGTAGCATAGTATATTACAAGTTCACCTTTCATGCATTTGGTTATATTATTACTAGAGGGCTAAGCCCCCTGTTCGCTGCCACTCCCTAACCCCGATGATTGCTTCGCAATAATTGTTCTTTCTTGGCAGAAAACAGTTTTTCTACTGAAGTTAAAATTATTCAGTAAATATATATGTACTAAAATGAATTCTGTTTGCTTACGCTTGTGCCTCCACTTCCAACGACTGAATATTATTATTTATTAGTATTATAAATAATGAGCTCTATTGGTGAACAGAAGAATTTTTCTAAGTAATAATTTTTTAAAATAACACTTATATTGTTATTACATTTTATTGTTCAAACAAATTTGACGAGCTCACGACTGTAATTTAATATTTTCGCATACCAAACGGGCGGATATATAAAATGCTATTTTTGTTTGCATCTCGTTGCGCATGAACCGGATCGTTAAGTTCTAAATCATTTAATAGATTTCTTTAAATGTAATTTATAGCAGTATATTAATGTTATTTGCACAATAATAGTAATGGTAAAACTGTTAGTAAGATTAGACCACCTTTCTAAAATTTTATTACTTTGTCTTAAAAAATAACACACCATATCTTAAAATTTAGCGCAGAATTACATTATAATAGTAATAATAATAAAAAAAACCCAACAGCAATTCTCTTAGTTTCAAACTCATGATTTAAAAGTGTACTTATAGCAGTATAGGAAAATAACTTCAAATTAGGGATACAAAAATATTTATAGAAAAACAATACCCTTATAACTTTTGTTAATTTCATGCTGAGGACAACCAAAAGAATATAGAAATGAATGAGGAAAAACTGGATGCAACCACGTGATTTTTTGGCCAATAAAGATGCACTTACAACAATGGAAAACTTCGAAACCAAAATTACATTTTTATACATAGTAAGAAACAATAGCCTTGCTTTACTTAAATAGAAATGAATAGAAATAAGATTAAATATTACTTCGTGTGATGGAAATTTGCGCGATAATCAAAATTAACACTAAAAATTTCATTTTCTGAACTTATGTACAATTTTAAATTATTCGATTTGCAGTGGAGCGATTGTTAAATAAATTTAATTAACTCACAAGCAAAAGTAAAAAAACAAAAACTGTTATTCAAGTGTAGCATATTAGCATGAAAGAGCATTTATTTTGGCATTTACTGGAGTCAATGTAGCAAAATAGTTAATAAACTATGAACGCAAAAGTAAAACTTAAAACCAAGGCAAGAACTTAAACCAAAGGCAAAAACTGAATAAACTTTATTTAGCTTTTGTTTAAACTTTAATTAAACATTCGCATTACATAAATATTTTTAGTGATATTAACTTAAGTGATTTCATTTGTAACTTCATCTTTATTTTATCTACATTTTATTTTACCTACACTCAACATTTTTTAAATATATTTATAAACTTATTTATTATTTTTTCTTATATTTTTTGAAATCTTGTTTTCAAAAAGGTAAAAAAGAATAAAAAGTTAATGGACCTAACTTTGTTTTTGCATATTCACACTTACGATTGCTCTACTATCAAAGTGTAACTTCTGTTTTCACTATTTATTCAGTTTTAGTTTTCCTCAACCCTTTTACAAAATATTTCTCTTCAACATATTGCTCTGGTTTCCCCTCTTGGGGGTTTATTTGATGTCTTTTGTATTTTTTGTTGGAACTGTCACACAGGTTTTTACCCGAGACAAGTCTGTGTTTATTATTTCAGAAACTTTGTTTTGTAGAGTTATTCTCAAAATGCTTTTATTTTTAGTTCAGAAATTGCTTTTCCAAATTCTCGCAAGCAATTTTGCAGCTAGATTTTTTTAAAAATAGTGTGCAAAGGTAATTAATTATCATAATAGCATAGTAAGTAGTTTTTTTAAAGTATTTTAATTGTTAAAAATGCTAATTTATTGGAAATTTATTATAAAATGAAGTTATATCTTAAACGTCTGAATTTATATCTTCAAACAAAAGTTAATGTTTTAGTATTAATTTGAAGCATTTTTATAAGCCTTTATGAAGAATGAATATCCTTTTTGAAATGTTAATATATTTAGAAAATTATTTACAACAGTTAAAACATTTGTGGAAGTTCAGTAATTTATAATAAAAATAGGTTTTTATTGAAGCAAATTTTTTAAAAATCTCTTTTTTAAATAATTGGCAGCCATATTAGGAACATCTAGTAGTAGTATAACATCCTACCGTGCCTATTGAAGAAATTAAGAAAATTCGGCCAAAGACAAGAATTAATTTATAAGAAAAAGAATGGATAAATAAAATATATTTAATAACGGATTCATACATAAAGTAAAAAAAATTAATGTTCATTATGGTATAATATAATTTGCGCCAAAAAATAATAATCGTAGAGCGGTTATCTTAAACTCTCAGTTTAGAAGTCAAACAAAATCAAAAACCAAATAATAACAATACAGGTAATCTTAACCCTTAAATTTTAGAAACAAAAATATTTACAGGAAAATAATAACTTTACGACTTATAT